CCTGCCTGCCTGCCTGCCTGCCTGCCTGCCTGCCTGCCTGCCTGCCTGCCTGCCTGCCTGCCTGCCTGTGTGGGGCTCTGAAGGAGTGAGGCTTGCCTGTGGTATTCAGGCTTCCACGACAACGGACAAAGGAGGGTTGTAATCGAATCTGTGGAAAGACTGAGAGGACCTGTGCATAAAAGAACTCGGGAAGGGCTGAGTGGCCCTCCACCGTGCTCAAATAGAACAACTCTCCCAGAGGTGGCCCACGGGCTCTCTAGCACAGTGGCCAGCCTGTAAGCAGAAGGCCAAGATTGGCGCCTCAATCAGTTGGGATGCCTTTTCTGTGGGATCAGAAACAGTGGGGACCAGCTGTGTGGTGAAGGCACTGGGGCTGCGCAGGAAGGGAGATTTAGCCAGAGAGAGCAGAGCCTCTATTGTATAGACTGATGAAGAGGAAGGCTTCAAGGAGGAAGGTTTACAAACAGTACATGGTGTAGCTGGTGGGAGGATCACAGCTGAAACAAGGCTCCCACCCCTCAGGGCCCCTGGGCTCTCAGCCCTTCAGAAGAAGACTCTCAGCGTGTACAGTCCCCCAGGCACCCCTAGGATCATGAGGGATCTGGGGAAAGGGCAAGGCTGTAGAGAAACCTACCTTCCTGGGTGTCAAAGGCCCTGGAGAAGAAGTTACAAGGATGGAGGCCACATGACTCTAAAGATGTCCAGGGCCTGATCCCTGGAACCTGTAAATGTGGCCTCGCAGGAAGTGGTCAGGAGTGAAGAAATTAAGGAAGTCACAATGACAAGATTATCCTGGATTAGTGTAGTGGATCCTAAATGGAACCACAAAGTGTCTATTATAATAGGATGGAGGCGAAGGGAGGTTTTGCCATAGGGGAAGAAAGTGGCATCGCCACTGCTGCAAGATGCCCCACTTCTGGCTCTGCCGACGAAGGAGGCCAGAGAGGCAAGGACATAGATTCTCCTCCCATGTACACGGAGACTGCTCATTCATTTCCCGGCTGCCCAGACCCGAAATAATGACACAGAAACTATATCAATTACAACACTGTTTGGCCAATGACTCAACTGTATTTCTAGCTAGCTCTTATATCTTAAATTAACCCATTTCTATTAACCTGCGTATTGGCACAAGGTAGTGGCTTACTAAGGGTCAGGTGTCTGTCACCTTTGGCAGCAACATGATGTTTCCCTGACTCTGCCTACTCTCTCTATATATCTCTTCCAGCCTGGCTATATTCTGCCCTGCCATAGACTGAAGCAGTTTCTTATTAGCCAATGGTAATAAAACATATTCACAGCATACAGAGGGGAACCCCACATCACTCCCAGAGCCTCCTGAGGAGGTGGGGTCCTGCCCATACCTTAGTTTATACGCAGCAAAGCTGATCAGGGACTTCTGACCTCCACTGCTTTGAGAGAATTAATGGGTGTTATTTTAAGCCATCAGTCTTGTAATAGTTTGTTACTATGTCACCGGGAATGAAGACAGACCAACATACATACACAGTGGTAGTTGGTTGGAAAGGCCTGAAAGGCCAGGAAGACAGAGATGTGCCCATACCCGGTGGATACTTGATGCTACAGGAGGTTCCAAGGAAGAAGAAGCCAGCTTTCCAGCCTACCACTGAAGGAACACAGGGGATGAGCCAGTCGGCAATGGCTGGAGAAGTACATTGAGTCCCCTGTACCAGGAGTGTCCTGGGTCCCCTCAACAGAGCTTAGGAGACCCACAGTTCTTGGCAACCTAAATATTTTGGTAGTTATTTGAGTGAAGAAGAGGAAGAGAAGAGGAGGAGGACAAGGAAAGAGGGAGGGAGGAGGAGAAGGGAAGCAGCTAAGGGGCCTGGGAGATGGCTCAGCAGTTAAAGGAACTTACCACCAACATAACCTGAAATCAACCCAAGCACCCACATGGTACAAGGAGAGAAATGACTCCTGCAAGCTGTCCTCTGACCTCCACACAGCCGTTGTGCCGTGCACATGTGTGTACGTGCACAACACACATGCACACATACACATGTACACACAAGCACACACGAATAAATGTTATCTTTGTTTGTTTTGAAATAAGGACTTACTATGTACACCAAGTTGGCCTTGAACTCAGAGAGCAAATAAATGTAACCTTTTGTTTTGCTTTTTTCCAGACAGGGATTTCCTGTGTAGCCCTGGCTGTCCTGGAACTAGCTGTGTAGATGAGACTGGCCTCAAATTCACAGAGATCCGCCTACCCCTGCCTCCCAAGTGCCAGGATTAAAGACGTGTGCCACCACTGCCTGGTTCAGCCTTACTATTTTTTAATAAGCCATCTTCATTTCTACTGTGACCCACATGCCCTGATCATCCTTGTTCTGATACCCAAAAATCCGCCAGTAACACACCCCTTGTGTAGCTCAAGACAGCGCAACATGATTGTCACCTGTCACACAGGGGATGACAGTGCAGTTCCCACAAGGTGGCAGCTGTGAAGACAGAGGGCCGCCAGTTTCTGGGCATACTTTGAAAGGAGTGTGTGATCTCATAGGACACCATTGTTTAGGCTTCTTCCCTGGCCCCAACAGTCCAGGTTCAAATCAAAATGAGATTGGCCATGCCAAAGTTCCACAGTGAGTTCTCTGGCCTTCTGAGAAGTGAGTACAGGGAGGAGAAGATGGCTCAGAGGGGACAGGTGTTTGTAGTCAGGCCTGGCTCTGGGGTTGTTGTTGTTTTTCTTTTATTTACTTGTTAGAGGCCCTCTATCCAGATCCCAAATAAATCCACAGAGACTTATTCTTACTTAGGAATGCCCGACCTTAGCTTGGCTTGTTTCTAGCCAGCTTTTCTAACTTAAATTATGCCATCTACCTTTGCCTCTGGATTTTACCTTTCTCTGTTATTAGACCAATCAGGTGTTTTAGACAGGCCACACAGCTTCACAGAGTTAAACAAATGCAACATAAAAGAATGTAGCACACCTTTGCATCACTAAACAAATGTTCCAGAGAAGAAACAAATGTAACACATCTTAAACCAATATTCCACGGCATGAAGCCTGAGTCCAACCCCCAAGGCCCTCGTGATGGAGGGAGAAACCGACCTGGCAAGTGTCCTCTGACTTCTGCACGGATACAGAAGCACACACATTCCCACATGCCCAAACAAACGAATAAATAAATATACAGGTAATTTTTAAAGAATGCTTAAGAAATGGGGCTAGAGAAATGGCCCAACAGTTAAGAGAATTCGCTATTCTTGCAGAGGACCTGGGTTTGGGTCTCAGCTTCATATCAGGTGGCTCACAGTCCAGCTCCAGGGAAACCTATGCCCTCTTCTGGCCTCCCAGAGTACTGCACTTTTGCTCATACACACAGATATGCGTGTGTATGTGTGATTAAAAATAAAAAGCTTAACGAATTCATTAAAAAATAAATGAGGACAGAAATGCCAGCCAAATCTCCCAAACAGACCAGTCCAGCTGGAAGAATCATATGCTCCCTCCACTAAAAGTGACTTCTTAACCTTGCCTGGTGTCAACCAATGAGTTTTTTTTTTTTTTCCTATTTTCAGCCCGTCCCCTTTCTGCTGTCCTGTCTACAAACTTGGCCTTCTCTGCTCAGCCCGTGAGACTCTCGTTCTGTTTTCTAGAACAGTCTATTGCCTTGTTCTAGAATCCCTAATGGGGTCAATTAAGAGCTTTAAACTAAATTGTCCTTTTGACTTGTGACCACGCCAATGGTACCTGTTGACGATTGGATACAGGGTGTGAGGCAGAGATGGGTGTTCAGAATGGCTACAAGGTTTTCATCCAAGCAACTGGGTGTCGGCAGTGCTGCCAGCAGGGCGGGCCGCGAGGGTGGCTTAATCGTGTTATGAGATGCTTACGAGAGAGGCAACTGCATCTCAGGTTAGCTGGGCCCCCGGCAGGTCTGAGCTACCAGCTCCCAGCCCTTTGGTGGTGTTTAAGGCCCTGAGAGATGGATGTCTCCAGGAAAGTTTGAATGAAGAGACAGGGTCCAAAGATAGTGGGAAGTGGCTGGGAGGAGGAAGGTTAGAAGAGCTGGAAGAGGGGGGGGAGGTGCTGATCAAGGGAGCCAGGAGGGCAGCCCTAGGGAGTGGGAGTGTGTGGTCCTAGAAGGAAAGAACTGTGAAGATGGATCAGAGAGGTGGGGGGAGGGGTGACATCTCCAGAGGGTTACATGTGTTTATACAATGTTTAAGTCACCAGTGTCGGGGATAACTATTACTCATAGCCTGAGTGTGACCCAGATAGGTCATCCCAACCTGGAAGCCAAAAACACAATCCCTATTTTATTTCCTATTTCCAATCATTTTCCAATCATTTTCCCCTGCGTTGCCCAGCACAGCTGATCCTTGGTCCGCAATCACTTTACATACCTTGAGACAGGCACTCCAAGAGCAAATCCACGAATGAAGCGACCCCAGTTAAATGTGAGCCCTCTCCCGTTATCCAGGTCTCAAGTAGAGAGCGCCGTCTGGAAAACGACCTACTTCACATATTTTGAATGAACGTTTCCCCCGGTTTCAACATCTCTACAGCCTGGAAATGTCTTCAATCAGTATCCTGCGATCACCTGGCACTCACGTAGGAGCAAGCCATTTGAAACCTTCAAACCACGTACATAAAGAGCCAGCAGCTGCTGGGTGTGGTGGTGCACATACCTTTAATCCCAGCACTCAGGAGATAGAGGCAGGTGGATCTCTGTGAGTTCACAGACTGAGTTCCAGGTCAGGCAGAACTCCATAGGAGAACATCTTTGAAAATTAAATTTTATAAGTTTTAATTTTTAAAGAGCCAGCAGTATAGCATGCTAGGTGAAAGAAAATGAGGTATGTCCCCAACAAACTAAAAGCCCAAGGATTGTGATTCCGTTTATCCTCCCCAGCTTCTCATTGGCTCAGCCTCGGCTAGAGGATGCTGGTTTTATCCTCCCAAGCTTCTCATTGGCTCAGCCTCAGCTAAAGGATGCTACATGTCTGACTTTTTGGTTCTCCTTTTGGGGACTTTGGAGATGGTTTAACGAGTAAAGTTTTTGACCACACAAGCCTGAAAAGCTGAGCTCGGATGCCCAGCACCCAAGTTCAAGAGGGATACGGCAGTGTGCGTGCATCCGTAATCCCAGCCCCGAGGGACAGAGACAGGAATAGTCCACGGCTTGCTGGCCTGCTAGTCTAGTCAAAAAAGTGAGCTCCTGGATCAATGAGAGACCCTCTTGCAAAAAGCAGGATGGCAAGCCAGGCAGTGGCAGCACACACCTTTAATCCCAGCGCTCAGAGACAAAGACAGGAGGATCTTTGTGAGTTTGAGGCCAGTCTGACCTACAGAGCAAGTTCCAGGACAGCTAGGGCTGCTACACAGAGAAACCCTGTTGTGAAAAACCAGACCAAACAAACAAAAATGTAAGATGGCAAAGCAATTGAGGGAGATAGCCCATTATCAAGCCCTGACCTCTATACAGGTTTACAAGGCACACACACGCTCTGTCTCTGTCTCTGTCTCTGTCTCTGTCTCTGTCTCTCTCTCTCTCTCTCTCTCACACACACACACACACACACACACAGCCTTGTTTCCTCTTGCTTCTTGTCACTTCTAGTGCATCCACCTTTCTCTTAAGGCAGTGTGGTCGTGACACCCAGGCAAGCATCAGAATTACCGTGACGAGGCAGTAAATTTTACTTCCGGGGCCCAGTTCGCAGAGGTTCTGATTCAGCAGGTCTGGGTGGGGCCTAGGAATCCACATTTCTGCTAGGTCCCTTGGCTTACTAGTTTCATTGCTGTGGCAAAACACTTTCCATAAGCAAGTTAAGGACCAGGGGACACAGTCCATCATGGTGGGGTAAGCATGGTCACCACGGGAGCGTGAGGCACGGTCCATAGGCAGGAAGCAGAGAGACGGACGCTGGTGTTCAGCTGACTTCCCCCTTTTGTAGTCAGTTAGGACCCCAGCCTAGGGGATGGCACCGCCCACATGGAGGGTGGGTCTTCCACCTCAGTCAGTCTAAAGGATCTCTCCTAACCTCCCTGAAGATGTGTTTCCATGGTGATGGCGTTGACAGGATGAACCAGCACAGCAGCTGATGTTGATTCTGCTGGTAGGGGACCGTGCGAATCTCTTTTCCTGTCTTCCTGTATTTATTTCATTTTCCCTCATTCACTGTTCCTGTTGGGATTCTTTTTTTAGGGGGAAAAAAAATAAGTATACTGAGTCACACTTCTCGAGTCTTTCTGGTCTCTTTTTAAACTCCCCGTGCAATCTGGATCTTAGAGGCAGAATTGTATGACACTGGCTGTTTTCGCTTCCTGACCCTCGAGTCAACCAGAACCGAACTTAATGGCATTAATTCCTGTGTCTCAACATACGCCAGATGACACGTTCTATTTATACATAGAACATCCATAACTTTTTTTTTTTAACCTTCCATGGTGGAATCTGGCAATTAGTTGCGACCCACCTTCTGTAAGCAAGATATCCAGTACTAACCTTTTCAAAAGTTATTCACGTATGTTGTATATATGGATGGATGGATACATGCATGCATGTATGAGCGCATGTGTATGAGGGTGCCCAAGAAGGTGTCTGGTCCCTTGGAACTAGAGTTGCAGGGGATTGTGAGCCATCGGTGTCCTTGTGACTGACCCACAAGCGCTCTGGCCACAAGTGCTGAGCCATCTCTCCAGCCCCAGGGCTCGCCTCTGATTTCTACTAGAGTTGATGGCAGGATTAGGTGGCTCCCTGGATGCCAGTCCATTCCCATGCGTTGAGTGGCCTCCAGGATAAGTCTAGAGCATTGTTCTCAGCCGGGGGTGACTAGCTGCACTGGGGGGGGGGCACTTGGAAACATCTGGAGCAGATGTATGTGGCAACTGGGAGGATGCTCCTGATGTGTCTGGGTGAAGGCTGGCAGTGTGGCTAAGCAGCCCGTGAGGTTCAGGAGTACCCCCTACATCAAAGATGAGTCGGAGCGAAAGGCAGTGAGAATCAAACACTATCTTTTTGATAGTCTTGGGGAGGGAGCTACCGAGGTACCCATAGTATGCCCACATCTTAGTCTTCAGTTCAGGCTGAATGGACCAGAATGACACCCTTAACAAAATCCCCACCGCACTTTGGGCAGCGATGTTCTTCTATAAGCATACAGGAATTTAGTTGCCCTTATAGCCCTGATTTAAAGCTATTGCCCCGCCCCCAGTGGCGGCTGCAGGGTTTGCAGACAGAAGGTTTGCTAAGAAAGAACCAGAAGCAGTTTGGTCCTTACTCCTGGAGCTGCCTACTTCAACTCCAGTTCTCCTCCCCGCCCCTCACCCCAGCCTGTGCCCAGGCCAGTTCTGTGCAGTTCAAGGTTAATATGCAGTGACCTAAATACTAAAACCTGTGAAGTCCGTGCTGTGCCCGGGCCCTGTCACTCCCATTTGCTATGCCCCTCCCTGTGACCCTGCTATGGCTCCAGAGATGTCTTGGAAGCTTACCTCAAATGCCACTTACCCTTGGCTTTTCTGGTTCACCTCCTTGTTTATTAAGTTCCCGGATCAGTCATCGGCTCAGGGGCTTGGAGACAAGGTCAGAGTAGAATTACACCCTGCTTCCCTGTCTAGATTTGGACCAATTGAGAGACAGGTGAGTCAGCCCGGTAGCGATCAAATTAGTCCCGACTTCAAAAAGTCTTGACTGAAGCTAAATTGGAGGAGGTAGCTGTAAACTTCCTAATTCCACTTCCTTAGAATTAGATGACTAACCGGCCGGGCCAGGAACACTGCTGAGCCACCAGAGTGTGAGAGAGAAAACTCTCCAGCTAAGCTGGCCACGCAACCCCAACCCAAAGAGCCTTCTGCGGGGAAGCAACATTGTGCCACCAAGGAGAAAGAGGATGCTCTGGGCATTCCCAGAGTCCTCTGCCAAATGTGTTCATCATGGAAGGATCAGGAAGGAATAGGGACATAGGTAGTGGGAACTCGAGAGGAGTTACACCAGTGGATGGTCTACGCATCAGAAGGAAACAACATGAGCAGGGCATAAGTGTTCCCACAGAAGAACACTCGACCTCGGGTTGCGGATGCACCTGGCAAGCACGAAGCCCTGGGGTTGATTCCCAGCACCCTATAAAACTGGGCATGGTAGTGCACAGCTGTGATCCCAGGACTCAGCACAATTAATAAAAACCCAGAGACAGAAATTAGGGTTCAACCTGAAAGTCAGAAAAGCAAAACAGCCAGCTATTGGCTCCTACCTCTACCTCAGTTGGAAATGGAAATCCTGCCTCCAGGAATCTCAGAATGAGACTGTGTCTGAGAGCTGTTTCCTCTCTTTTTATATTCTTCTCCAGGACTGGAATTAAAGGCATGCACCACCCAGTTTCTATGGCAAACTTGTGTGATTACTGGGATTAAAGGTGTGTGTCACCACTGCCTGGTCTGTAAAGCTGACCAGTGGGGCTGTTTTACTCTCTCATCTCCATGAAAGCTTTATTTATTAAAATACAAATGAAATATCACTACACCCAACTATACATGCACCAAAGTTTATTGAGAACACATGGGTATGAGAATGTATTAAACCCGTATGAGAAACTGACGAAACCAACAGAAGGCACGACACCCTCTTCTGGACCCCATAAAAAGAAGAACACCTAATACTACAATACCAATGGCTCTGCCAACCTGTCATCCAGCTTCCTGGTGTGTGTGTGTGTGTGTGTGTGTGTGTGTGTGTGTGTGTGTGTGTGTATGTGTGTGTGTAAGGACCAATAGACAGGGAACCTCCAACTGTCTCAGGGGCTTCAGTTCAGCACAGACTGTGGGTACCCAATGCTTGATGTGACCTGATCCCAACTGCCATCTGTATGTTCGTCCATCTATCCCTATCCACCCAGACAAAGTTGCACCTCCCCTCCCTGCTCCCATCCTGTTGATCAAGTTTGGTTAGACCCAGCAACTCGGGACCCCCAGGTCAACTCTGCCTAGTTCCTAGAAGTTCTCCACTTAGACGTGTTAATATCCATCATCCTCCTGCAGCGGCTCTCAGCCTCTGCCTCCAGTAAGGCCTCTTTCTGTAACGCATGTATGTGTATATATAAGATATATTTAATACGCCTATTTCTAAACACATGCTTCTACACATATTCAAATGTGTAACATGTACTGTGTGTTCCGAGTTAATATTAGTTACCAGGATTGTAATAAAAATGACCTGTGATTGCCAACAGTCATGCTTTCTAGGGACATCAGGACTACTTGATAAGCCACAGCCAATGAAACCAGCACATTCGATAAATTCAGACATTATGGAAAGATACAGACGTGCCCATCTATGTTTCTAGTGGACCATGCTCATGACAGTTACCCTGAAATTTAAAATTCTGTGTGAAAGCGTAGCTACAGATTACATACCGGACAAGAGGGAGGAAAGTGGAGGCAGCATTGCTTTGCTGAGACCCATTCAAGGATGACCATAGCATCCTAGGAATTCCTAACTTCATGTGCGTGTGTACGCACATGCACACACACACTCATGTGCACAGGCGCTTGCACACACATGCTAACTGTGCCATCACACGTAGAGGCCAGAGTTGATGTCGTGTGATGTGGGACTCCCCTGTGTATGCTGTGAATACCAATGGTTAACTGCTTTGAGCCTATAGCAAAGCAGGGCAGAACAGAGCTAGGTGGGGAAAACTGAAGGCTGGGGGAAAGAAGACGTGGCCAGGGGAAAGAAGACGTGGCCAGGGAGAAGCCTTGTGGCCCCACCAGAGACAGACGCAGGATGGAAGCTTGCCAGTACGTCGCAGCCACATGGGGTGATACACAGATTAATGGATATGGGTTAAATTAAGATGCAAGAGTTAGCCAATAAGAAGCTAGAGCTAATGGGCCAAGCAGTGATTGAATTAATCCAGTTTCTGTGTGGTTTGGGGCTGAGCAGCCGGGAACAAACAAGCGGCCTGCACACTACAGTCGTGATGTTGCCTTCAATAGATCTTCCATCTTGGTTTTTGAGACAGGGTCAGTTTCTCAGGGAACCTGGAGCTCACCTGTTCAGCTAGACTGACTGGCCTGCCAGCCCTGGAATTCACCTGTCTCCCCATCCCTAGTGCTGGGGTTACAGACATGCGGCTCCATGTCTGCTTATAAGAAAGTGCTAGGGAACCAAACTCTGGTCCTTGTGCTTGCTCAGCAATCAGTTTGCCCTCTGAACCATCACCCAGCCCCATGCCTGGCTGTTTTTTTCTGTGTTTATTTAATTTTTGTCTTCCTTTAATCTGAATCAATATGTTCTGTGGTGTGATTTTCTTATCGGGAGAATGGAATCTGAGCTGTGTGGTCCCAGGTGGAGACTTTCTGAACTGTCAGGAAGATCCTGAGGTTACCACCTGGCAGGAGGCTTTCAGATGAAGAATAGGGGCAGGCCATTGTCCCCTCCCTTAAGAGTTAACCCAAATGGGCTTGTCAATCACGAAGAGAGAAAACACTGCTCAGAAAGCAGGCCTATGCTAGTGACTTTGGGTTCGAGATAAGAGAGCTCGCTGTTCTTGCAGGTAACCTGAGTTTGGTTTCCAGCACCCATACCAATCAATCCACAAACTCCCGTAATTCTAGCTCTGGGGGATCTGACACCTTCTTCTAGCCACTATAGGCACTGCACCCTGTACATAGCCCCCCCCAGAAATACTCGTACAAAGACATATGCATGTATTTAAAAATAAACTCCCTAAGGAAAAGAAAATTGCATGTAGGTCAGGACAGTGGTCTCTTTTACCATTGTCCACTCTCCAGAACAGTATCAGTCTCTTTGGTCACCATCCAATCTGAAATTGTAGGTGGCTGTGAGCCACTCAACATGGTGCTGGGAACCAATTTTGGGTTCTCTAGAAGAACAGCAAATTCTCTTAACTGTTGAGCCATCTCTCCAGCCCCCTCCTATACTGCCTTTGTTTTGGTAGTGGAGACTCCAAAGCCCAGGACTGTTAACCTGTTAGTCAAGTGCTCTACCACCAAGCTCCATCACTAGCCCAGCGTTTGCATCGCCTCTTGCTGGCACTTCTTCCTGTGCTCACCATTTCTCTTCGGACAAAAGAATTCAGATTTGTAGGGGTTTGACTGGCAGGATGCTACCTGAGCCTTTCTTGGTATATTGACTCCTGGAGTGATATGTGTATTGGAATCTGGGGCTTACAGAAAATGTCTCCAGGGGGGCTGGAGAAATAGCTTGGTGGTTGAGAGCGTTTGTGTCCCAACACCCACAATGGATAGTCCACGACCACATATAACTCCAGATGGGCCCTGAGGGACAAGTCAATCAGCTTTCATACTCTGCCCATTGCAATAAGGATGGCGTCAGGTTGAGGCCACAGAACAAAGCCGAAGACATCTGAGGACTGGAGAAGGTTGGTCTTCTCTGTTTCCTCCAACGGAGAGGAGGAAGCAGGAGGCCCTTCCACACAGGCGACTATCTTCCAACCATAGAAGTCAGCTTAAACACAAGAGGAATGCAGAGAAGGAATAGGAGAGAAAGGACAGAAATGGATATAGAATGTGCTCCATGATCCAAGCAGGCCTGAAGGTTCCTGAACTTCCAGAATCTTCTCTGGCTGTAACTAGCAGAAGCTATAACTGCTTCTACTCTCTGGTGTATCCCCAGCACAGAGTAGGCTCTCAGCTTAATTTACTGACTGAAGAGATGTTGATAAGGTTACCTTGCTGCGAATGGTTCATCTTCACCATCACCTTGACAGGATTTACGGTCACCATGGAAATCATTCTGAGTATGTCTCAGAAGAAACTTCCGGAAAGCTCTAACTAGGTGAGACACCCACCCTGAATGTGGCCGTCACCATCCCAAGATCTAGGATGAACAGAAAGGAGAACACGATCTGAGAATCAGCCTCATCTCTCTCTGCTTCCTAACTGCGGATGCCATGTGAGCAGCTGCTTCACGCTTGTGCCCCATGACTTCCTGCTGCGACGGACTGTGCACCCTCGAACTGTGAGCCAGAAGAGACCCTTCCCCCTTAAACTTCTTTGGTCAGATATTTTGTCATAGCAACCAGTAAAGTGACTAACACAGCCTCTTTGTTCAGAGAGCTCCACAGGGTCCTTAAGACTCTCGGAAACATCAGAAGCCTGTGGCAGACAGTGGACTTGCAATGCAGCGCTCACAGCTCTGTAGGAAATCAGTAAACTGTAGCCTTTGATTTGATGGTGATGATTGCATTGACTTTTGAGCTAAAAGAGGTGTGTGTATGTGTGCATGAGTGTGTCTGTGTGTGTGTGCTGTGCACATGTACTTGCAGGTATACACACCAATGAAAAGTTCTTGAAGAGTCCAGAGGAGGACATCAAGGGCTAGCTCCACCACTCTTTCCCTTACTCCCTTGAGAGAGGTTCTCTCACGGGGGCCAGGCTGCAGCAGGCAAGCTCCAGCGATCCTCTTGTCTCCACCTCCCACGGCACTAAAGTTAAAGACATGTGCAGCCACTCTTGACTTTCTATGTGGATGCTGGGGATTTGAACCCGGGTCCTCATGCTTATGTAGCAAGTTTTCCTGCCAACTGAGCCATCTCAGACTTGTAGCCCAAGCTGGGCTTAAACTCCTTGGCACCCAAAGATGAACACCAGCTTTGGATCGTCCTGTCTCTGCCTTCTGAGTGCTGGGGTTCCTAATGTGCCCCCCACACCCAGTTCATACAGAACAGGTGGTCAAAACTAGGGCTTCACATACACCAGGCAAGCATTGTACCAACGAGGCTACATTTCCAGCCCCACCAAAGATGCAGATTTATACCAAGAGCAAGAATCAGTGCTAAGGGTCTGAGTTCTTTATCCCCTCAACATCTCTATCCTGACCTCTCTGCCGACACCTCCACCCATCACCCTATCCCTTCACCCTCCCCACACTCTGCCAAGCAGCAACGGTGGTCCCATGAAAACACTGGATGCACAGGCTGCCTGCGTGCCTTTCCCAGGTTGACTGAGTGCCTCCAGCTCCCCACAGCAGCTGCCTCCTCTGGACTCAGGAGAGGGGGCAAGAAAGAGGGATGAGAAAGAGGGACCCAATATGGATGGGTTCTCCTGAAGGACACAGCTGCCTATAAAAGGCCATTTCGTCTCATTTCCTTTTCAGCTGGTTTATAGCCCTGAAAGCTCAGTCTGATTACTTCCATTTTTATAGATGATGAAGCTGGGCGCAGAGAGGTGACAAAACCAGCCAATGTCATTCAAGCCCTAAGCAAAGGTGCCACCATTCAAGGCCTGGTTTTGCTGTAATTTCTGCCTCATTGTGCCGGGGGTGTGAGGCCCAGGCACCAACCCTGTCCAGAATGTCTGAACTCCTCCGAGTCCAGCCTTCGCCAGCATAGCACTTCAGCGTGGCGCCTCCCCCAGGAAGACAGCCTAGATTCCTTCACCACAGCTACAGACCTACAGGAACTTTCAGGGTCCCCCAACTTGTCTGGGCCAGGACTCAAAATGGACCCCAAAAGCAACTCTTTCAGAACCAGTGCCTTCTTCCCCTGCTCTGATCTTGCTGACGACCCCACTTCCCACCCAGGGACGAAAGCCATGTTGCCCTGTTGTGAGAAGGCAGCTCTACTTATGACTCAGGGTTTGAGGCCTCATGACCCAGGCCAGAAGCCAGGGGCTGCCAAAAGAGCCCTCATTAAAATCAAAAGGAAATGCCAAGAAAAAGGACCTCTCTGAGTAGATGGTGACTCACGGCTGCAGAGTGTCCCAGGCAGCTGGACTCACCTCTGGCCCCCATCGCCTCTGCAACAGGGACAGAGCTCCCAGCACCCAGGGGCCCAGGGTGGGGGTGGGGATAGTAAGTAGCAGGAAGTGTATGGGCAGGGCTGGGGGTGGGGCTGAGGCCCTGTGTGCAGTCTTATTTACAGGGCTTCCTTTCTGCGTTCAAAACCTGTCATCCCAAATCACACAGCCTAGGGAGCCCCCCCCTAGTCCTGACTCTGTGGAGAAGCTCCCCATAGACTGGAGCCTCTGGCCCAGGGTGTGTGGATTCCTTGTCATGAGGCCCAACCAAGACCAGGGAAAGAAGACAGACTCCAGGCCCTAAATGAGCAACTGAGGCTTGAAGTTGGGAGGAGGGGGGCTTTAGTCACGTGCCCCAGCCACGTCCCCAGACTGAAAGAAAAAATTGAGTATAGGAAGTTACTTTATAACTGTGGTAATTGGTAATATAAAGTCAGACTTAGATTGGGCTGTATTACACTCAGTCCTCTGACTTTATACTAAGTCGTGGTCTGAGAAGCACTGTGCTGGCCCTGGGTAAGTCCTTCAGAACCGCCTGGGTCCATATTGTGGCCCCTCATTTACTGAGGTGTATGGATCTGTTCCCTCCTCTGTAACAGAGGAACCATGGAAGCCTGAGCCCTTTGCTTTGGCTTTGTTCATGGGTGACTCACCTGGGGCCCTGCACATGCTCAATAAGGGCCAGTTCCCATGAAGGAGGTGAGGCAGATACCTCTGTCTCTGTAACACAGACAGGATTACTGATGTCCCAAGTGAGGGAAAAGACCTGCCCAAGGCTTTGTGGTCAGGGGCCCCAGAATGTTGACTAGAAGCAATGGTCAAGTTATCTCAGTCAGTGAAGGATGGGGAGGGGCTCTTCTGCCTTGGAAATGGGACAGACTTGGGGCTTGGCCCTGTGAGAGCTTCAGTGTCCCCCACTGTCCTAGGTCTCATCCACTGAGTTGGTTTAAAGAGAATGGGCGCAATATTAAGCTTGGGAAAACAGGGCACAGCCACTGGGAGCAAGGACTGTAAATTTGAAACGTGGAGGTCCAAGAGATGGGTGGGAGGAAAGGTGGCCCCAAGACTGCCCCACCCCTGTTCCCACACCCCCTTGGAGGCAGAGTCTAGCTGGCTCCTCCCCTGGGAACTTAGCCAAAGTGTCAAAGCTGGAAGAATTATTGCATCACTGGGCACTCAAGGGTTAATGATGGGGGAGTGGGCAGGACCTGTGTATTTAACTAATTGGGAGTTGGCCTGAGATCAGAGGCCCTGCTCACTTCCTCCCACCGCAGCAGGCTCCTGTGCCCCCTGCTTACCTCCCCCAGGATGAAACCGCCCCTTGCCCTGGCCTTCTTTTGCCTCCTGGGTAAGTGACCTTCCTGACCTCCCTGCTGCATCCTGGCCCAGCTGGCAATAGGAAGCTCTCTGGATGTCTGAGCACGGCCCTGCACAGGGCATCATGGGTACCAAGTGCTAGAGGCCACCCGGTGACCCTGGGATGTGTGCTGCCTGAGCCAGCAGTGTCTGGGGGAGAAGGCAGGCAGGGGAAGGAGGTGAGGAGAATGCAGTGGGGAAGGGAGTGGGGGCCTTGGCATCCCCACTTCGAATGGGCACCTCCCCACAGCTGAAGCAGAAGGGTCTGGAGGAATCTGGAGAGGTCTGCAGAATCAGCTGGAAAACAGGCGCAGGGGTGCGCGAGGAGATCTTTGTGGGGAACGGAGTGCTTTTGGGGAGAGAGGGCTGAGGCCTGGGGAAAGGAAGATTTTTCTGTGAAAGATTAAAGGAGTCCGTGGAGAGATCTGACACAGCATGAGCGGGTGGAAAGGAGTGAGGAGCACCAGGTGGGTAGGAGACTACAAAGACAGATAAGCGTGAGGACCTGAGTTCAAATCCCCAAGACCCACAGAGGCAGGCGGATGATGCTCACTGGCCCTGAAGCACCTTGTGGTCCCTGCCTCCTTTTCTGTAGCATCCCTGGCTAGGGGGAACCTGGTCCAGTTTGGAGTGATGATCGAGAGGATGACGGGGAAGTCTGCATTGCAGTACAATGACTACGGCTGCTACTGTGGTGTAGGTGGCTCCAATTGGCCAGTGGACCAGACTGATTGGTGAGCCGGAGGACCTTGGAGGAGGAGGGAGAGGAGGTGGAGAAGCAGCCTGGGAGGAAGGAGGTCCTGGGGGCACTTCCATCCCCTCTGAGTCCTGAGGATGTCCCAGCGGCTTCTGCTTCCAGCCCAGTCCAGCCCAGTCCCTCCAGGTTAACTCTGACCCCACAGGTGCTGCCACGCCCATGACTGTTGCTATGGACGTGTGGAGAAGCTGGGCTGTGAGCCCAAGCTGGAAAAGTACTTCTTTGCTATTGGTCGAGACACCATCTTCTGTGGTAGGTGGCCAAGCCCGGAATGAGCCAGGCACTGGGTAGGCAGGAGTCCCTCCAGCTGGTGACCTTGGTGCTTGTCACAGGGCCAGACCCAATAGGCTTCCCACCATCACGTAAGGGTGACAACGCTTGTCCAACTGTTCCGATTCTTACTAGGCATCTGGGCCCCACAGCCCTGTGACCCACCAATGCAGTCCTTGCCCTGCCTCAGCCTCTGGGGACTGAGCAGAAGGGACTGAACTGAGCCATACCCAGAGCTGGATTCACACAACGCTCCCCTAGGAAGGGCCAGGAGGGGCTCTGACTGAACAGCAGGCCTATTCTCACGAGTTGTTTGCGCCCAGCGGGGCTGCTGAGCTGGGCCCACCTCCTCCACTTTGCCAAGTTCAGTGCCCATTTGGCACTATTAGCTTTCCTCTGGGCCTCAGCTGGGGAAATAGCCAAAAGCAAGGCTGCCCGGAGGGCACTCAAAGCAGAGAATCCAACTTTCCTCCCAGCCTGGTGGGTGTGGGATGCAGGGAAGGACCCACGCAGTCCGAGGCACTGGCTCAGCACAGATCCCAGGGGTCTGTGCCGAAGTATCAGCCAAGACCAGCATCACTGAGGCAGAGTTGGCTCGGGGTGTCTCACACCTATAGGGGATCCCTCAGCAGCGTAGCTGCATCAGGTCCTTGGCACTGAGGGTTCAGACAGGGATGGGACAGGCCCCAGTTGGGATGGCACTGAGGATGTTAGGGGAGGAGTCAGGTGGATGGGACATAGCCCACCATGGTACTTTGACCAAGGGAATGAGCCCTGGAAAACCTGTGTGACTTCTTGCCTATTACGCCGAGATAGCCACGCCCATCTCCCCAGCTGTCCACTGTCAAGACTTCAAGTGCATCCTCGGTCCTGCTGAACTAGCCGGTGTGGGCAGAATCATGAAGGGAAATGCTCATCTCTGAGGGGGAAGTGGGGCACCAGACCCTTCCAGACAGGGAGGTGGATTCCTAGGAACTGAAGAGCAGAAAGAGACAATCACAAAGGACTGAAGTAAGGCTTCTAGGCAACTGGCACCGGCCATGACGATGCCTGCTGGCCATGATGCCCAGGCTAGGTGCAGGTTCTGTCTATTCTGATAGAGACAGGCTGAAGCCTTGAGAAGGAGGCCCCTGCATTCGTCTAATAACCTCCAGCCTGGATACTGGCCATCCCTAACGATGCCATCACATAGGGGAGGGTTGCTAAGGCCCTGGTAGGAGGAAGGTGAGAGGTTGTGAAACCAGCATCCTGTCAAAGCAGGAGAGGGCTAAGATCATGTGAGCGGGCTTAGAGAGGAAGGGAAAACCCAGGGTGGTAAGCCAGCCCCCGCCCATCCCCTTGACAGGAAGTGGGAAGGCGGCTGAGGATGGGGCTGGGAACCTGGACCACAGAGCATTGAGGAGTCACTCTCATGCCGTGGCTAAGAGCCGGAGCCCCCAGCCTCCACCCCAGACTCTGGCTTGTTTCCATTCCCCTCCAGCTGGTAGAACGACTTGCCAGCGGCAGACCTGCGAATGTGACAAACGGGCCGCGCTCTGCTTCCGCCACAACCTGGGCACGTATAACCGCAAGTATGCCCACTACCCCAACAAGCTGTGCACCGGGCCCACCCCACCCTGCTGAGGTCCCAGGCCTGCAGAAGCTTGGAGCCCAAATCCCTCTCCTGCAAACCCATCCCTCCCCTCAGAACCCAAAGGCCCTGGCCTCTGGAGCCATACCTGTTCCCCAGGATCAGCTAAAGGAGCCACAGGACCATCCAGCCCTTCAGCACTCACAAGACCTGCTAAGTCTCCCCTGACACCTCGATTCCCTCTTCTGAACAAGAGAATTCTATTTCCCTGCAAGTCTAATATTCTTCCATTATCTTCCTGGAATTTGGACACTAGTTTCCTTTTCATTCATTCATCTGTTCATCCACCCATCCACTCACCCGTCCATCCACCCATCCACCCACCCGTCCATCCATCCACCCACCCATCCATCCATCCATCCA